GTATTTAATTTGGGAAAGGTCTCAGAAATTATGCCTTGAGATTGCTTCTCCACATGTCCTCTCCATCTGGAATACTGACTGAAATGCACTCCCAGCCTCTCAGTTTCTAGTCCATGACCCTTAGCTTTCTTTCATACCTTCTGTCTTTTTAACACTGCTACCTTCAGAGCAGTTTTCTCAGCCTTCTCTTCATACTCACTAATTTTATCTTTCACTGTGTTCACTCTAATTTATCGATGAAATTTTTTTCACATCTACCTATTCTTTTTTCACACTGTCTTATTTCATTATGATTTTAATTTATCTGTTTGAGAAAATTAAGCACAATTTGTAGCATTTTATAGTATTCTATAATTTTTATGGTTTTCACTTTTTGGATATGCTATTTCTCCTGTTTTCCTTCATATAGTGGCTTTCTTTCATGGTGAAGCCATATGATTCATTGCATTTGTAATTTTATGTTTCATTTTGTTCAAACCCCACAACTGACAACAAAGAAAAGAAAAATGAAAATAAACAACTTGACTGTCATTTTGAAGCATTTCATCTTATCTAGTGTATCTATAGTGGGAGAAAAGATATAAACTTATATTAGTTCGGTGTGCCATTTTGCCAAAAGTTAGTTTTGGTGGTACTGGGTATCAAACCCAGGGCTTTGCAAGCCCTCTACCATTTGAGCCATACCTCTAGTCCTGTTCATCTATTTTTAAAATCTATAAATTTTTAATATTACTGATAACCCAAACAGTAGGGTTAGATATTCTCAGAAGTTTTCTTCAGCAAGCTGAAGCAAGTATATGACTTAATGAATGCCTAGCAATGCAGCTACATGATGTAAATGTGGTTTAGGGTGTCTAGAACTGAAAAAGTGTTGGGTCTTCGTCCGTCCCACGAAAGACGGACGGGGTCCGAGGAAAGGTAAGTGCGGCGCTCGCCCGTTCCCTAGCCTCCCTCAGCCCAGGAGACAATCAGACACAGCGGGGAGCCAAATCCAGCAGGTAGAAAAACTCGTTTATTAACAGAGAGCAGCCCCTTTTAAAGACAACAAGGGTGGGTGGTATGGTAAGGGAGGAAGAGGAACCAATCACTGTCAAGGTCACACCCTATCATTCACCTGAGCCCTCACGGGCTGGTTAGGCACTGATCAGAAGATCAATTGGGGTCTGCCCACTCAACCCCTCCCAGAGCCATCTTGGCTGGCCATGTGCTCTCCAGTAAATTAGGCTCTGCCCACTCAACCCCCTCCCTGCGCCATCTTTGCTTCCCATGTGCTCCACAAAAAAGAATGTTTATCCCTTTTTAGAAATTTTTATTTTTATTAATAAGCATAATTTTTAGAGCAGTGTCAAGTACACAGTGAAATTAAGCAGAAGTAGAGTTCCTGTATATTCTTTCTGTCCCTGCTGTATATACAGTCCCTCCACATCAACACTGCATCTCACAGTGGTACATTTCTTAACGTGCACTGAACTTTTGCCCATGCATCCATCTAACCTACAAGTCCATAGTTTATGTTAAGGCTCACTCTAGGTCTTGAATTTTGATAAACATAAATTTTTATGATAGATCTACAATTATAGATACATATAACATTTCCACTCCCTAAAATGCTCTGTGCTTTGCTGTAGATTTCACCAATACTTCTCAGGTTATTTGTTCCCTAGTGGAATGGATGACTTGAGAATTGGAGTTGGGTATTTCTTTTCCTAGATAGGTGGTTCTAATAAAATCCCAGCAGAGTAGATCCTGATAAAATGGTTTCTCTGCTAAGAGCAGAGTATGTTGGCATATTTCAGAATAGCTTCCGTCACAGGAGCATCCTGTGACTAGGTCTCTCTAGATCTTTTAACTCTCAGAGTTGTGGACATTTGACCTCTGGCAATTCGTCAATTACAATTCAGGTTTTCCTAGCCTGATGCTTGTTCCCACAGAAGATTTTTGCTCTGAGTTTTTAGTCATTGAGTTGTGTTTCTCTGTTTCTGCCTGCTCCCAATTTTTGGGAGAAAGCCTGTGATCTGTGTTCTCTGTCAAAAATGAGAAGAGTTGTTAAGTTTTCAGCATTTTAATTACTAAGCCCCAGAAGTGTTAGGTCTTGAAAATATTTTTATTTCTATTTTTATGTGTCAGTTTCAAATGTCAGAAAATGTAAAAAATAGAGGTGAATGAAACAAAAACCAGCTATAATTTTCTTATAAAGGCAAATACTTTTTTTTAACATGTCTTTCTTCATACAAGTGAGATTATACAATTCTGTCATCCCCATAGGATCCTCAGACCCAAAGCTGTACTAGATATCTCCTCCCCTGAGCTCTCTTTTTTGAATCTAAATCAATTCATCTAGCCTACTCACCAAACCAGGAATCTGAGAGAATTGTGTCTCCTTTCTTCACTCCCATTCAGTTCCCAAGTCATGACAGTTTTTCTAAATAGTGTTTGGATCCGCCTCTCTCCTCTGTTACGGCTTCTCGTCCAGTCCTTCATTGATTTTTCCCCCCATCTGCTGCAGTAGTAGAGCCTATCTGTAACATCTTTTAGCTTCTCAAATTCAGAGTGACATATATTTAAAGGGCGTATCTGGCCATGTGGCTTTCCTGTGAAAAATCCTCTAATGGCTTCTCATAGTCTTTAGGAGGAAATCCAAGCTCCTAAGCACGACCTGTGCGTCCCTCTGTGCCCAGATCCCCTGAGCGTGTTGTGACTCTCTCAGTCCCTGCTTTATATTCTAGTATCACTGCACTCTACAATCTCACCTTCTAATCCTCTCCCCACCACTCAGGGTACGTGCTTATCTGTGTGCCTCGTGCCGTGTCCCCTGCCAGGAATGCCTTTTCCTTCTACCTCTTTTACCTTATCGGTATCTGCGTATCTTTTAAGATTCAGGGCGGCTGTTACCTCTTCCTGAAAGCTTTACTCTAACTCTTGGATCCCCTGCCCACAAACTGGGTTTTTATGTGCAAATCTCGTTATGTTTCCCTTTGGTTATTGATTCATTCTACCAGCTAACCAACAATATTGTGGCAGGCAGACTTTTCATTGCTGGGATACAGCAGATGGTAAAGACCTTATCCTAATGAAGCTTACATTTTAGTGCTGGAAGTAGATAATAGACAACTGAGAGCAATACATCTGCAGGTGGTAAGTGCATATTTAGGGGAGAAGATTAGAGAGGAAGCTCCTTTTTGGAAAAATGATCAGAAGACACCTTACAAAAAATATAGGTTTGAGTATTCCTTACCTAGAAATCTTTGAGGCCAGAAAATTTTCCCAAGATTTTGGAATATTCGCATATATATTCATGAGATATCTTGGAGATAGAACCAAAAGCTAAACATGAAAACTTCATATTTCATGTACGCCATCACTTCTTGACCTCCTGGCTGTGATCAGAGTATCATATACATCTAGTACACAGAGCCTGAAGGTAATTTTACACAGTAAATTTAGTGAATATTGACGTGAGCTCAGATGTGGAATTTTCCACATGTATTATTATGTTGTTTAAGAAGGTTTTTATTATGGAGCATTTTGGATTTTCAGATGTGAATGCTCAACCTCTTTGAGCAGAGACCTGGTGGAAATGAGAGGCCATCCAGGCATGTGTATAAGCAAAGCCTGTCACTGAAGTGTCCTCAGGATGTTCCAAGTCAAGAAGGCAGGTGGTATGCTGGGAACTGAGTGGATGAGGAGCAGAGTGGTGCAAGATGAGGTTAGAGACTGATCGATGACCACTGGATCATTCAGGGTTGTGTAGGCCATTATAAGGACTTTGACTTTTACTTAGACTGAAAGCCATTTGAAGCTTTTATGCAAAGAATGATGAACTTCTGCTGAGTAGTGCTAGACAAGAGCAGAGCATAGAGACCAATTAGGAGATTATTGCAGTAATCCAGTTAAGAGGTTAAAATGGTTTGAGCTGACCAGATCAGAGCCAATAAAGGAATGAGAAGTGACTGGATTTGGCATATAGGTGTTTTGGAGATAGAGCCAACGGGATATGAAGGCTGGAATCTATGGTATGAGCAAAAACAAAAGTCACAGATGACTTCCTGAGTTTTAGTCTGAACCTAGAGAATGGAATTGCTGTGAAGTGGGAAAGATGTCAGGAGTTTTAGAGATACAAAGTTTCAGAAACAAGGTTGGAAGTGTACACATGGGGTTCACAGGAAAGGCTGTGGAGCTAGAAAAGTGATGAAGAGCTGCCAACAACAACAAAAAACTGATGGAGAGACCCGGGTGAGAAATAAAGGGTGGAGGGGGGAACAATGACTCCTGCCAAATGTCACGGACATTTTGAATTCACAGAAGACATCGTGTTTTCAGTCTGTCTGGATTTGCCTCTTCCATTTAGCTGACAGCTCCTTTGGAACAAGAGTAGCATACAATAATACAGCTAGGGCTTTGAAGACAGTGGATATGGCAGGCTAGTTCATGGCTGCTTTTCCTTTGTTTCCTTTGTTTGCTGCTTCTTTGGGGCCCTCTAAGCTTCTGTCTGGTCTGTGAATTGGGTATGAAATATCTTTTCTACCAATTTGTTGTGAGGATCAACTGAAATCAGCCACATAAAATACTGAGTATAGTCCCTTTCCTGTAGCGAAGCACATGATAAGTACTATAAATTAATATTATTAAGTATACCTGCCACACTCTCTCTAGTAAAGCAGCGTTTGTTAATAAGTGAATTGCCTTAGAGATTGGTCAGCATTTGTGCTAGGCCTTCTTGTATACTTGTGAAGGCTTTATTGTTGTTGTTTGGTTTTTTTTAAGCCATTCTTGGGACTTGAGCATTGTCAGGGCCTGAGCACTGTCTCTGAGCTTCTTTTGTTCAAGGCTTGAACTCTACCACTTGAGCCACAGTGACATTTCTGGCTTTTTCTGTTTATGTGGTACTGAGGAATTGAACCCAGGGCTTCATGCATGGTAGGCAAGCACTCTACCACTAAACCACATTCCCAGTCCCTGCTCATGAAGTTTTAACATAGTGTTTTATGGTTCTCTCTAAGGCTGATCCTCAGTAAGTGGACTCTAGAAAGAGAGTAGAAGAGACGACTTGGGGACCAAACTGACTCCATGGAGCTTCCCAACTATAGCCAGCAGCTGCTGCTACAGCTGTACACACTGTGCAAAGAGCAGCAGTTCTGTGACTGCACTGTCTCCATAGGAACCATCTACTTCAGGGCTCACAAGCTCGTCCTGGCTGCTGCCAGCCTCCTCTTCAAAACCCTGCTGGACAACACAGATACCATTTCCATCGATGCCTCTGTGGTGAGCCCTGAAGAGTTCGCCCTCTTGCTTGAAATGATGTACACCGGCAAACTACCAGTGGGCAAGCACAACTTCTCCAAAATCATCTCTTTAGCGGATAGCCTGCAGATGTTTGATGTGGCTGTTAGCTGCAAAAATCTTCTAACTAGCCTTGTAAACTGCTCTGTCCAGGGACCAGTAGTAAGGGATGTCTTGGTGCCATCCTCAGAGACTTGCAGGAAGGAAGCCGAGAAGCCTCATATAGAAGTCTTTTCTTCTGAAGGTGCCGGGGAGACCCCTTCTTCTTTGGAGGGTCACAACACTGCAGGGAGCACTGGGAAAGCAGAGAGCCAGGAAACCATCCATGTGGTTCCACAGGAAATGAGTACAGATCCTTCCACAGTCAAGGAGGTTCAGGGGGAAACAGAGACACCAGTGGAGACTCCTCTTCTGGCTGAAGTTTGTCCTCCCTCCCCTGTAAGACAAACCCTTAGTGAAGCAAAAAGGGCAAGCACAGAACCAGGTAATACTTTTAAGTCTATATTTAGTTCCATTTAAATTTATATTTACAACCAGACACCAGTGACTCACGCCTGTAATCCTCAGGAGGCTGAGATCTGAGGATCACAGTTTGAATTAAGCCAGCCGAGGCAGGAAAAGTCCAGAAGACTCTTATCTCTAGTTAACCACCAGAAAACTGGAAGGAGTAGTGTGGCTCAAAGGGGTAGAGCACTAGCTTCGAGCAAAAAAGCTCAGGGACAATGCCCAGGCCCTGAGCTCAAGTTTCACAATGGGGGGGGGGGGGGGCAGGGGAGGGAAAGGAAGTCTTAAGTATGAGCACAAAGCAGACAAGAGTACTGAAATAACCATGTCCCACTCCTGATGATTACCACTATCTCCAGCAGGCAGAGGACACAGTGAGGGAGGAAGCAGTGAGGGAGGAAGCAGTGAGGGAAGCTCTGACTGCCACTCAGTGCCAGTGTGGTAGATGGACAGGCTGTGACCTGGAGGTTTTTGGACAGCTGAAACTACTTTGTAATCATTTAAAGTAACATATCACTGTATTTTGTTTTGTTCTACATTCAGAGTGTGAGAAGAAACACTTCCAATTGAATTTTCTCTTAGAAAATGAGAATGTCTTCTCAGATGCACTCTTAGTTACCAAGGATGTTTTGAAGAGACTGGAAGAATGCTCAGAAATTAAAGGCCCACAGAAGGAGGTAGGTACCCCTGAGCTTCATTTGTTTTCTAGCTTAATGTTATCAGGGTAATTTGTTAGCTTCCCTTATGGAGAAGAAATATGAACATGCAAAATATCCAGGGTTTCATATTTCTCAAACTTTAATCTGTGGAGTTTTGTTTTGTTTTGTTTTTTGTCATTTATGCCCTAAAGTACAGTTGAGCATAAGTATTGGCAAGATAGTTTCAGAAGAAAGTTATATGTTGAGCACCACAGGAGTCTTAGCTGATAGCACCAGTTTTGATTTAGGATATTTTACCTATCACACTCTTCTTTCTTGATTAATCAAGAATGAAATGAGCCTGAAGTTAGCCTTAGATAATCCTAAATCAGAGACTTAAACTATAAAAGCAGATACTCAAAATATGTATAGAAAGGATTTAATATCAACTTACATACTAAACCACAGCCACTGTTTAAGAATACCATGATCATTAAACATAAAAACATAATGGTAAACATATACACAGGGCTAAGTTTAGTAGATATTTTATGTCATTTAATATAAAAATCAAGGGTACAATTTCCCACTTCTGTTTTGTAAATGAGAAAATTGTTTCAATGAAGTGGTATAACTTAGCAGAGGCATAGAGCTCATAAGACCTGGAGCAGGGTTTAATTCCCAAGTTTTCTGACTGTTTTTGTGTGTCTGGTACTGGGGATGAAATCCTAGCCCACATTCTGATTTAGAGCTATCCTGTTATACACTGAGGATGGCTCTACTTGTGTATAAAAATGTTTAGGTATCCTTGATAGGACACTGCCAATGCTTGTCCTGTATTTTTTTTAGCTGTTCTGCCATAACACAATTGAGACCCATCCCCACTGGCATGCTCCTGCTGCTGACCTGGCACGATTCCACTCCACAGACATGTTAGACTACACCTGCCTCTCTTCTCTCTCCATGCTTAGAGGCTTCAGCAGAGTGAGGGCACTCCCTACCCCCAGTAGGCTGCTTATCTAATGGCAAGGGAATTATGTGTGAAGGTCCTCCATGTTGGTGTAGGCCATTTAGTGTCTGTTAAGGACTATTCATTCAACTAGTTGATACTTTCCAGTATATCAGTGGTTTCCTGAATCCTAGCAGATTACTTAAAAAAAAATTAAGGTCTAGTATTGACTTTAACCAGATTACTTCATAGTTGGCTACAACAACCAATTGTTGTCTTGGAAAACATACTGTTTACAAGGCTAAGTTACTCCTGATGACTCTGGGAGGTTTCAAGTTAGATATCCTTGATATCTTTGTAACAATTATGCTGTATCATTTGATTTTTTTTTTTACCCTTGCATGTTCTCTATGTTATCATCCGTCTTGATCACTTCTAGACACACCTCTTCATTTTCTCTCCTAAGGCTTCCTCTCCAAAAGGCTTCTTCTGACCACAAAACAGCAATACTATTCTTTCCATCAGGCAAACACACAGCGATTAGTGTCCCCTCTGAACTTAACTTGGATTGTGTTTTCTACTTTCTTAGAACATTGATGTCTGTATGTCTGACATGTAAGATGGCTCATGAAATGATATTATAATGGATACATTCAACATTTTCTTTCTGTTCTCCCCTTCCCCCAATTTTGATCCTCTTTTTTTCATTTTTGGTGCCAGCCCTAGGGCTTAAACTCAGGGCCTGTACACCATCCCATGAGCTTTTGCTCAACGCTAATGCTCTACCACTTAAGCCAAAAGATCCACTTCTGGCTTTTAGGTGGTTATTTGGAGGTAAGAGTCTCATGGACTTTTCTGCCCAGATTGGCTTCAAACCGTGATCTTCAGATCTCAGCCTCCTGAGTAACTAGGATTATGGGCATGAGTCACCAGTGCCCAGCTCTTGTCCTCATTTCATAGATAGCAGTATGAGAATAATACTTCAGAAGAGCCTTGTTAGTGGTAGGCTTTGATTATTTCTTCCTTAGCTCTAGCTGTGCTTAAAACTGATTCTGTTCTGGTCCATAATAAGCTTAAATAGAAGGATTGAGAAGTAACTCAGTGATTGAGCTCTTACCTAGTTAAGTGTGAGGCCCTGCATTCAATCTCTAGTATTGTCAAAAGTTAATTAATTATAAGCTAGGGAAATGCTGTTTTCTATTAGATTCTCCCCTTCCCACTGTCTCTTTTTACCTTCTGTCAGCTTTGTGGCATGAAGTTTTTTTGGCATGAAGTGTACATATTTAAAGAGTACAATCTGATAAATTTTTATCATACCTTGGAACTGTTGCCACAATCAAGATGCTAAGAAGTAGATATTACCTCCAAGTGGTTTACATGTCCTTGTATAATACCTCCTCCAGTCCCCTTCCACTCATCCATTCCCTAGCTAACTATTGATTACCTTTCTGTCAATTTAGTTTGTATCTTTCAGAGTATTTTATAAATGAAATCATATGATATGTATGATTCTTTTCATCTAGCTTCTTTTATTTATCATAATTTGTTGAGATTTATCCACATTGTTGTGTGTTCAGTCCCTCTCATCACTGTGATCTGTTGTATTGATATAAAGTTTATTTAGCTTTACTTATAAGCATGATGATCTTGACCAACTTACTCTTTATAAACCTTAGTTTTTTAAAAATTTTGTAAAATGGGGATGTTATCAGTACATCACAGGGTTATCATGAAGTTATTAGGATTATTTATGTAGGACTCATAGTAAAAATGCCAGGCCTAAGCTATATAGCTCACACCTATAAGTCCAGTTACTTAGAAGGCAGAGATTGGGAGGATTGCAGTTCCAGATCAGGAGGTTTCATCGCAGTAAATAAAAGCTGTATGTGCTGGTACATGCCTGTTGTCTCAGCAATATAGGAAATGTAAATAGGAAGATCACCATCTAGGCCGCCCAGGAATAAATGTGAGGTCCTTGTTAAGAAAAATAAACTAAGAGACTGGGTGCCAGTGACTCACACCTGTAATCCAAAAGGCTGAGAGCTAATGATTTCAGATTGAAGCCAGCCCAGGCAGAAAAGTCCATAAGACTATCTCCAGTTACCCATCAAAAAAAATAAATAAATAAAAGCTGTAGTGGAAATGTGATTCAAGTGGTAGAGTGCCAGCTGTGAGTAAAAAAGTGGATAGCTTGAGACTCTGAGTTCAAGTCTTAGTACAGGCATACACCTTATACATACATACATACATGTATACATACATACACACATAAATACATAAATACATACTTACTTATATACAGCAAAAGCATGAAGTGGTAAAGGGCCTACATAGCAAATACAAGACCCTGAGTTCAAATCCCAGTGCTTCAAAATTTTAAAAATAAAATCAAAAGCCAAGCAAAAGGGAGGGGGGTAACAAGTTCAAAAAGAAATGTACTCACTACCTTACCAATGTAACTGTAACCCTCTGTTAATCACCTTGACAATAAAATTAAGTTTAAAAAAAAAAAAAAGCAAAGGCTGGGCGCCAGTGGCTCACACCTGTAATCCTAGCTGCTCAGGAGGCTGAGGATTGCAGTTCAAAGCTAGCCCAGGCAGAAAGTCTGTGAGACTCTTATCTCCAGCTAACCACCAGAAAACCAGAAGTGGAGCTGTGGTTCAAGTGGTAGAGTGCTCACCTTGAGCTGAAGAGCTCAGGGGCAGCACCCGGGCCCAGAGTTTAAACCCCACAACCACCAACAACAACAACAACAAAAGGCCACCCAGGCCCAGAGTTTAAACCCCACAACCAACAACAAAAAAAAAGGCCAAAAAAAAAAAGCCAATAGTAGGACCTCAGTAGGTAACCCTGCTGTCATTTTTACACATTAACTTAGCGCTTGTAGACTTACTAGACTTCTAATTTATCTTTACATTTGGGTAAATGTAATATTCTATGAATGCTCTCCTACTAGTAAATGTCTTGTAATATCTTTCTAGTGCTATGGTGGTTACTCTGACACATGAGGTAATTTGTATTTCTTTAAGCTTAATTTGTAAGATGTTTTCAAATAGGTCCCACCAGCCACTTGGAAGTAGCTTCCTAAACTTCTAGCGTTGTATCTAGTGTGTAAAAGTCTCTGTGAACAGTAGTACATACAAAAATCATCTGGTATACTTGTTCAATGCCTCCAGAGTCAGATTCTTAGGTTGTAGGGAGAGCTTAGGAGTCTATGTTTTAACCAAGTTCCCTGTGGATTGTTGTCTTGTAGCTAGAGGTTAAACTTTACATCCATGACCTATAAAAGTTTTAGTGTGCTTTTGGTGCCAATAGGCCTCTTGCCATCATGGTAATGTTTTTAAAACCCACCAGACTCCCTATATAAAAAGTGTAGTAAGGGACTGAGAAAGTGGCTCAGTGGTAGAGTGCTTGCCTTGCATGCATGAGGCCCTGGGCTTGATTCTTTAGCACCACATAAGCAAAAAAAGCCGGAAGTGGCACTGTGGCTCAAGTGGTAGAGCGCTCTGCTTGAGCTCAAGAGCTGAGGGACAGCGCCCAGGCCCAGAGTTCAGGCCCCATGACCAATGACAACAACATAAAAAGTGTAATAAGAAACAGGTGCTGGTGGTTCATGCCTAAAAACCCTAGCTACTCAGGAGACTGAGATCTGAAGATGAACATTCAAAGCCAGCCTAGGCAGGAAAGCCCATAAGGCTCTTATCTTCAGTTAACCACCAAAAAGCCAGAAGTTGAGCTCTGGCTCAAGTTGTAGAGCACTAGCCCCCAAGACAAAACGCTCAGGAACAGTGCCCAGGCCCTTAATTCAAGCCCCAAGACAGGCACACACACATACACATACACGTGTGCACGCGCACACACACACACACACACACACAAGTGTGCTGAGTACCAACCTCACGAAGTAACACAGTACAAAAGGGCAAGGGTGTTTTGTATGTCCAGGAAAAGCAGCATTATGTCAGGAAGCAGAGGAGCTATGGTAGGTAGATTAAGCTGATTTCTCCAAAAAGTTTACAAAGGAGATAATTGAGTGCTGGGCTTGAGCATATTGAACCTCACTTCAGCTTTGAGAAAATGCTGATGACTAAGAGATACAAGCATCTTGAACTGTGCAGAGATGAGAAGTAAAAGAAGAAAGTGATCCAGTTCTAAACTCCAACTTGTTTTAAAAGAAAACATGAGGTCAAATTTAAAAAAAAAAAGTAACATATGGCAGCAGATGTCATCTGTGCTGCCATCTGTCAGTGTTGTGAGATGCCATAAAAAATACAGTTAAGACTTGTCCCTACCCTGACACCAAAGACATCCTGCCACGTCCGCGATTATTTCCTAGGAGGTGCACAGGAATTGCTGTAAGGCTTCAGTGAGTAGTGCACTCAAGAACTACTCACTTGGAGCAACATTATTTTTAGTATAATTTTATTATTAAGATGTTGTACCAGAGGGGTTACAATTTCATATGTCAGGTAATGTGTACATTTTTCTCTTTTTTTTTTGGTGGTAGGGGGGTGGTGTCCATCTTGGGCCTTGATCTCAGGGCTGGAACACTGTCCCTAAGCTTTTTCTCTCAAGGCTTGTGTTCTTCCACTTCAAGCCATGGCACCACTTCTGGTTTTCTGGTGGTTAATTGGAGATAAGAGTCTCATGGACTTTGCTGCCTTTGGACTTTGCTGGCTTTGAACCATAATCCTCAGATCTCAGCCTCCTGAGTAGCTAGAATTACAGGTATGAACCACTAGTGCCTGGCTTATTTCTTTTTGGACAATGTCACTGCCTCCTTTGGAGCAACATTATTTTAAATTTTAATACATCTTTAAAGACTAGAGGTTTTTTGGTTTGTTTTTTCCATTACACTTTTTTTTTAACCTCATAAGGAGCTTTGAATTTTTTCTTGTTGTTATTGTTGATTATTATTACATTGGTCACCTTAATATGACAATTGAACACACAAAATAATTGACCACTGATTTATGAATTTGAGCTTTGTTGCAGCTATGAAGTGGCACCATGTTCTGACTGCAACAGACAGATGCAGGTGTGTAGCTGGCTTAGACACCATGAACTAGTACCCTCATAAATAGTATTTCCTGGAATACATTTCCCCATCAGAAAAAGCAAGCCATGGCCCAAGAAGTTTTCTGCCTGAGCTAATAAGTAAAACCTTTAGGTAAAGCCAGACTCAGAACTTTTTTCAGTTTTTGTGCTAGAATTTTTAATTATCTTTCTTCTCCATTCCTAGCCATGTCCCTGCTTTTAATTAACTGTGTATACAGCATAGTGGTCTTCACTAAGAGTAAGAAGTGAACTTTTTCCACTATTGATTTCTGTATTGTTTGATTCACTTTTCACCTACAGATATAGAAAGATTCCCAAAGCCAAAAGCCTGGTAACATTTGTTATCTTCTAAAGTCATATTTCAGAGGCAAACAAGTTTCCCCCTCCTGTGTAAATCTGCTGTTTTCAATCATGTCATGACTTTGGGAGTTTGTCAGTGAGGCAGGTCTGTTTTAGGACTGTGCTCACAGTATGGGGTAATCCTTTTACAAATGAGTTAAAGGATCCATTTTGTAGGCCTCTGAGAGGTAAAAATTATTTTTCCAAGTCTCCTCTGGATTATTTATTAAATCTGGGATACACAGTCACAGATAGAGGGAACTTCAATTAAGCAAACATTTTTTTGAGTCCCTAGTATATGCTAGTCTCTATACTAGTCATGAAACAGAAGAATGATACCTAGCATTCAGTAATACTGATTCTGGCAGGTCCAGTAAAATCCAATGTAACTGAATTCCATATACCCAGTGTTTCATCCAGGCTACCTTGCTTATTGGCCCTATGACCTTAAACAAGTTCCTTAACTTCTCTGATATTCATCTAAAGCAGTGTTCATCTAAAGTGGCTGTAGGAATGCCCCAACTGATATGAGGAGGGGATGGGCTTGCAGACAGCAAGCCTACCCTTGTATTTATCTTTCTTGCTGGAGACTTAACCTAGGAACTCATGCATGCTAAGCAAATGCACCACCACTGAGCTGCACCCCAGCCCCAGCTGTAGCAGTGTTGCCATTTGCTGGCCCTCAGCATTCAGCAACACAGGATTGCCCAAGCAAATCTTAATGCAGTAGGAAAACAGTTGGAAAGTGTGTATATTCAGTTAAAAGATGAATTAAAAGAAAGATTATGTGGTTTTCCCATATCATAAATGGAGAGAAACAGTCTCATCTTTAAACACATTTATCTGTATTTCACTCCTAGGTAAAGTAATTGAATTACACATGTAGTTTGTATTGATATGAATTTGCTGAGTATTTTAATAGCCTAAGAATCAAAGGAGTTTCAAGTGATTAAGAACTTAATCCTTTTGACAAAACTCTATTTTGGTTCAGCTCTTGGAGTTTGGTTCACAGTGTGTGAGCTCTTCTGTTAAGGAAGAGACATTATTTCAGGAATAGGAAATAGCCTGTTGCACAGCCTTGATGAGTATGAGCATCAGCTGTGGTGCTAGCTGTGGTAGGGTTCCCAGTAGATTTTGGAAAAAACACAGGGCTGTCCAGGCAGCTGATTGCTTCTCCTGGTTCTTTCATAGCCTTCTTCCCAGATGGCTACCCTAGCATCACTGCTGAGCAGTAAAGTTAACAAATGTTTTAATTTCACTGCTGAATAGTTCTGCAGAAGGAGAGACAACAGAGAAGATAATGAGAAGTGCATCAGAAGCTACTGTTGATGAATGCTGCCACCATACACACAGTGGATAACTAGAGAGGTGGAATTGGGATAGCTCTAGGTAAAGAAAAAGACAACCTAGTCTGGGATAGAATGAGATTGCTGTATGCCATTATCAATTAAGATGCACAAAGGAAAGGGCAGAGGAAGAAATAAGTGTAGTGAAGGCATTAGCAGTGAGTGGGTCAGAACACATTATCCATTATTGGGTAATAAATTAAGATTCAGTTCAAAACAAGTAGTTGTTCTAAGCAGTGTCTGTGGGTCAGGAAACCAGATGGAGCATGGCTGAGTCACACAAAGCTGAGTTCAGGGCATCAGCCAGAGCTGTAGCCTTTCCAAACCAGGGCTCAACAGGGACTATCTTTCAGCTTGCTTCCCTGGTTGTCAGCAGCTCCTAGAAGGTCCACTTCAAGCTTGTTTACTCGGTATGGGCTTCAGATGTCCATTCCTTGCCACATAGGCCTCTCCCTCGGGCAGCTTATAACACAGTGTAGTTTGCATCTTCCAGAGTAAGGGCAGAGAAAGACTGCATTTGATTCAGAGCACATGCATGCACTCATCCTCACCCAGGTACATAGGCCAGTCAGAAGTCATGGTAACCTAACTTCAGAAGGAACATCCCATTACTCACCACACTCCTTGTTCGAAGCAAGTCATGAGGTCCAGCCAAAGGGCATGGATACTGGATGTATGAGGTATCAAGCCACTTGGAGGCTACCTGGCTAACAAAAGCATGAAAAGCAGAATTGATTTACCAAAAGGAATTAAACATTCAACTGATAACTTCATTTCTTGCTCCTTTTTTTTTTTTTTTTTTTTTTTTTTGTGCCAGTTTAGGCCTGGACACTGTCCCTGAGCTTTTTGGCTCAATGCTGTATCACTGAAACCACAGATCTACTGCTGGCTTTCTGGTAGTTAATTTGATATTCGAGTCTCTTGGAATTTCCTGACTGGGCTGGCTTTGAACCACTGTCCTCAGATCTCAGCTTCCTGAGTAAGCTAGGATTACAGGCATGAACCACTGCCCACTGCAGTGAGGAGGTCAGAACTACCCTGAGTGAAGCTAGAGGAAGGAATCAGGTCTCCATAGTTCAGGTTTGGGGTGCAAGTAGGAGGGGCTGCTGGAGAGGAGGAGGGGTCAGATTGTTGGGCACCTGGCTTTGTTCATTATTTTTAAAAAAGAAGAGTCACTTTAGGTTCATGGCAGTTGTTTACATCAAAGTAAAGATGATTAAGCTATTTTATCCAAATTTACTTTTAGAGATGACAAAAAAAATAAGGAACTTTTTTTAAAGATTATATAGAGACCACATATATATTTATTGGTTTGGAAGAATTAGGGAGTATTGGGAAGAGCAGGTAAGAAAGGTGAATTCTAACCCCCAGTACTTTGGTGCAATGTCAGGAGAGCAGTGATAGAGGCAGTAGTAATGCTGAGGCCCCTGGAAGGTCCACTGACAGGCCTGCAGCAGGATTGCTTAAGGAAGGAAACTTGAGTCCACTCAGGTTAGGGGCAGTCATTCACCTGAGATCATTAATATGTGGATCATGTTCTGCCAACACATTGTTAGCCTTATTACAGAATATATCTAAAAGTAATAAGGTTCGTGTCTTTCTAAATAGTCGATCATTCATAATGTAAATGACTTAAAGTGTTCTTTTTTTCCTAACTTGTGAGCTTTTAATTGCATTCTCAAATAATAAAATGACAGTTCATTCAATTTGAAATTCAGATATCTTTGCCTAAGAAATACTGAAAATGTCATAAGACTCAGAAAAGTCTAATTAAGTAGGAGGTGCACTGAGTTTGTTAAAAATGAACTAAACACCTGCTATATGCCAGGCTGTGCTTGTTGCCAAGGGAATAGAGCCCTAGAAAGCTTAATCTCTATCTTTAGGAACAGTAGTAGGAGAAACAAATAAATATAAGTCATAGTGTGGGGTGACAAAGACAGAACGAAGGGCAGCAGATAGGAGGTGGGACCTACCCTGAGTGAGGCTAGAGAAAGGAATCAGGTCTTCCATAGCTCAGGTTTGGGGTGCAAGTAGGAAGGGCTGCTGGAGAGAAGGAGGGGTCGGATGGTTGGGCACCTTGCTTGCCACATGTAGTTCTGGTGACTAGCTGACCTCTTTCTGGGCGCTTTCATGACACAGATCATTGCAGAATGCTTCAAGGGTGAAGGGGGATGTCCAGCATTCCAGAGGCTCCTGGATAAAGTTCAAGATGAGAGTCTGGATGTACAGTCTGCTCTCTCTCTGCTGAGGCTGTGCCAGAATGCTGCTTCTGTGGCCAAACAGGCTCTGTTAACCCCAGAACCAGGAGGTGTGGCACCAGTGCAGCCAGAAGGTAGGAGGGGGCCTTGGCCATCCAAGTAAACCAAGCTTTACAGTCTCATCAAGTGAAATGGATCTTCAGCAGTGAGCGGTTTCACCTAGGTTCTGTATGTCATTGCAGAGGCCGCATGTTAAGTATATATGAGCTGAATAAGCCTCCATTTCTGTACCTTCGTTAACTAGGCTGTTACCCTGACAGATTGGAGAGTGTTATCGGTGTCCTCCTGCCTTTCAGGAAGCTGCATATCCACAGCAGTGCTTCAAGGACCCAGGGTGACTTGCTCACTGACAGACTTAAAGGCTGAAGCTGCTCTCATTTGGGTTAGGTACAAAGCAGTGGCCTTGCCAACCGGAAGTTAACCTCTGGCTGGCTCTGAAGCTTTGTGTTCTGACAGATAAATGAAACACTTTTCCTTTCATAAAGTTTAAACAGAATAATAAAGTATTTTCCTCCCTAAAAGTGATTCTGCATTCAGGTGCACAGAATAAGCTGAGAATCACTTTACTATTCTGTTAGATCTCTCTCCACAAACCATGCTGTCATTTTCTTCAAATTGACTAGCTTCTCTTGTGTGTCTCTAATTCTTTCTCCCCCAGGGAGCACAGAGGAGGGAAAGACCTTGTCTGTTCTGTTACTGGAACACAAAGAGGACCTGATACAGAGTATAACACAGTTGAGACCTATTGTGGAGTTCCTGGAAACAGCCAAGGAGGAATTCCTGCCTGGCTCCCAGAAAAGGGTAACTGTGTCAAGTACCTCCTCCCCCTGCTGAATTGCTATAGTGCTTGTTTTTTTTTTTTTTTTTTTTTTAATCTCTTCTGTGGCACATAGCAGTTTTTGCCTTGCAATATTTTTATACCTATTGCATAGTAATCACCTTGAAGTTCAGATTCTTGTTTCCTATCCCTTTGTGGTTCTTGCAGCCACTTTTAGCAGTGCTCAGGGTACCCATACAACAGGTGTCTTGATGGACAAATTGTGCTGTCCCTGCTCTCACTGGATTTTTACTGTGTAACTAAAACATTTGTAATCATGGTGGAAAGAATATGTGGTTAATATGGATAGATAAAAGAAGTACAGAGAGGGAGGATCCCACCACTTCGATCCCACTGTTAACTGTAAAGAAACATGCTGTCCAGTCTCTCTGAGTCATCCTCTGATGGAATTATATGAAACACACTGTTTTATTCAATATGTTGATACATTTCTATGCCCACTAAATGCATTTGATAACTGAATTATATTCATAGATGTGCCATTTATTCTTTTCTTTTTTCTATTCACAGTATTGGGTTTAAATGCAGGGCCTTGGCTTGATAGATTGGCACTCTGCCACTTGAGCCACACCTCTAACCTCACGATTCATTCTTTTTCTTAAATGTAATTTTGTTATTATTATTATTAAGGTGTTATACAGAGAGGTTACCATTTTCATAAGTCAGGTAATAAGTACAATTCTTTTTGTACACTGTTACCCTTTCCTTTGCTTTCTCCTAGCTTCCCTCTCTTGTTCCTGCCCATAAGTTGTAGAGTTCATTTTCCATGTAGTGTATACTGAATATCATGACTGCATTTATTCACCCTTGCTCCCAACCATCCCCCTACCCCCTTATTCTTAGGAATTCACTTTTAGTTTTTTGCTGTTACAAACATGTTGCAGAAAACATACTTGTAAGCAAAGCTTTGCATGCCTCTTAGTATTACTTTCTTAAAGTAATTTCAAAGAAATGAAATTTGGAACAGTGTAAAAATGTTCCAGTGTTTGGTAGGTATTGCCAAATTGTCCTTCAGGAAGGTCATACCAATTTACTCTCCCACCAGCCAGTTGCTAAAATCCTCATAAAACTGCTGGCATGACTTCTTGAGGCAACTAGATAACTGTATTTGTTGTGTTATTGATTTCAACTTTGTGCTAAAAATACGCCTATATCAGAGAAGGAAGGAATAGAGATAGAAAACTTTCATGGCATCAGTTCTTAGAACTGTGGGAAGTACCTTAAGTGTCCGGGAGAGAAGATATTTAGAACCCTGGCATAATGGCTGAGTCCTGGAGGCATAGTGACAACTGGATGCTAGGTGTCACTTTTTACCTCAGTGATCTTACATTACTATAAACAGACAAATAGATAAAGAACTTTTATCTTAAAGTTGCATTTTTCAAATTAATTCTATTTCAGATTTCTTTATTGTTTAAATTGTATTGTAAAGGTGATGTCCAGCGGGGTTACGGTTCATAAGTCAGGTTAATGAGTACATTTCTTTTTGAACATTGTCTCTCCCCTCCCTATTTTTGATTTTTTTAAGTTTGTTGAACTTCACAAAGAAAGATAATATTATAAAAAATGAGTAGCTCCTGTTTTTCTCCTGAGATTTCAGATTAAGTATAATTCCAGGCACTGAATTTTAGAAAGTTGCTTGTACTAGAAGCATCTGATGCCTAGTTGGGTGGTTTCATTCAATTACTCATCTCCAGCTTTTCCTTATTAGCCAGACTGGATGAACACGTCCTTCGAACTGTTCTATTATCTTGGTAAAACAGCACTTAGAGATAGAGCCCAGACTCACCTCACTCTCTGCAGCAAAATGGACCATGCTGTCACTTTCAGTTTACTTGACTGAAAAGGCTAGAGCAGAAGAACTTAAATTAGTTATAAATCAGAATGCACATCTTAGGCATGAGCTCGCTCCTCTTGGCAAGATTGCAACAGCTTAACTAGATGGTAATGCTGAGGTGAATGCTGATCCAGTAGCCATAGTGCCATGACACTGGGGATGTGTGCCCAGGCCCTTGAAAACTTTACTCTTCCAAGAAGTTATGTTTGTCATGGTTACCAGGCCTTGCCTGTAAGAACAGGTCGAGGGACATAGAAATAGCCATTGCTGTAGCTCTCATGTTTTTACTGCTTACTGCCAAGAAATGAGCTGAAGACCTTTTTTTGTGTTGTGGGGCTTAAACTAGGCCCTGGACGCTCTCCTTGAGTTTTTTTACTCAAGGTGTAATGCTCTAGCCACAGCACCACTTCCAGTTTTCTGGAGGTTAATAGGAGATAAGAGTCTCACAGATTTTCCTGCCCAGGCTGGCTTTGAACTGCAATTCTCAGATCTCAGCTTCCTGAGTAGCTAAGATTACAGATGTGAGCCACCAGTGCCCAACTTAGTAGCCTACTTTTACAGAATCCTTGTAACAGTTGTGCCAACAATTGTACCTATAACTTCATTTGCAAATGAGGAAAATAAGATCCAAAGAGTTTAGTAACTTGCCTAAGGTCACACACAATAAATATTAGAGCTAGGATACAAACTAGGCCTGTCTGGCTTTAAGGTCCATACCTTTTCTTAATAGTCTCTGGCTGCCTCACTGTGTATTAGGTTATTGCTTGGGAACCAAGATTTGTCATCATCATAGTCGTAGTCATCGTCATCATCATCATCGTCATCATCATCATCATCATTATCATTTTGTGCTTTGTTTGAACTATGGTCTTTGCATTATTTAGTTTTTTGCTGTTTGGAGATAGAATCCCACAGACTCTGTGTGTGTGTGTGTGTGTGTGTGTGTGTGTGTGTGTGTGTGTGTGTGTGTGTGTGTGTGTGTGTGTGTGTGTGTGTGTGTGTGTGTGTGTGTCAGTGTCAGTCCCACAGACTGTGTGTGTGTGCATGCGTGCGTGCGTGCGCTCTGTGCGCTTGCCAGTCCTGGGACTAAGCTTTTTTGCTTGAGTAGTGCTCTACCACTCGAACTACAGCTCCAATTGTGGTTTTTTTGGTGGCTAATTGGACTTTCCTGCTTGAGCTGGCTTCAAACCGCAGTTCTTAGATTTCAACCTCCTTAGTAGCGAGGAATTACAGGTGTGAGCCACTGGCACCTGGCTTCAAGGCTTTTCTGCCTAGAGCTGGCTTTGAACTGACATCCTCCAGGGGGTCAACCTCCTGAGTGGCTGGGGTTACAGATATGAGCCACCAGTGCCCAACCTACACCAGTGCAGTTAAATATGAGCTCTTAACTTTATCTCAGAGCTTTTTTTTTAAATGACTGTTTTGAGATAGGGTCTCACTATGTGGAATAGGCTGGCCTTGAACTCTTGACTTTCAGTCTTGGCCTCCCAAGTGTTGGGATTACAGGTGTATATCACCATGCCAAGTCCAAATTCTCAAATTTTAAATTATGATTCATTTAGTAGAAATCTATATTTATTAGGCCCTTAGCAAAGAAAATGATTGTGTTCTAAATTAAGGAATATTGCAAGTGGATTTATTATATATATGTATGTGTATTTCTTTCACACACATACACACACACACATATATATATACACACACACACATACACACATACATATAGCCAATTTCATTATTTTAAACTGGGAATTTATAATGCCACCCTCTGGCATACTACCATGACTGAACTGCTTAACTATTACTCCTGAGAGGCAGATTTCCCAGAGGAAAGCTCACATTTCAGTTACTGGGAACTGTGGATTACTTATATTCAAATAATACCATTTATCAGTTCCATCAGAAGCATGTTTTACTATTGCATTATGGTCCATTAAGAAATAGCTTTGTTGTAATAGAAAAAGATCTGCCTCCTATATGACTTTTCAGCCTTTTGCTAATGCCTATGAAAGTCCTGTGGCACAGCAAGGAAGGACAAGGGAGTAGAATTGTTGAGTTATAGCTGGACCTGTTGTATGTGGTCATTGAGAATAAAAGGAGTAGGTAATAAATAATTAACTAGAAAGATGACCCAGAAGAGCACTTAATTATTTTAGAGTCTATAAACTATAAATTATCTGAGTAAAAGGAAATAAAATAATAGAATTGCTCTGAAATTTATAAACTATGATGATATTATTACCCTTAACTAACAGACGGGAAATATTTTAACTTTACTAATGACTAGTGTTTTCTCAGTCTTGGAATCTGAACAAACTATATCTAAAGAACCAGCCAAGCAGCAGTGGCTCACACTTGTAATCCTCGGAGGCTAAGATATGAAGATTGCAGTTTGAAGCCAGTCTGTGTAGGAAAGTTTGTGAGACTCTTAACTCCAATTAACCACACAAAAACTGGAAGGAGCACTGTGGTTCAAGTGGTAGAGAGCTAGCCTTGAGCACCAAGAGGCTCAGGGACAACGCCCAGGCCCTGAGTTCAAGCCCCAAAACTGACAAAAAAAAAAAAAAAAAAGAACCAGGTTAGATATAAGCTACTTGCTCTCTCATGTCAGTCAGATGTAAAGCTTTTTAAAAATAACAAGCTCTTTAGAGGCAAAGAATGTGCACAGATTTGTAGTTAAAAAGGTTTGCATAGAGCTCTTTCTTCAGAGGATGTGTTGGATCTTTATTGAAGCAGAGTAATGAAGGGACTATGACAGAAGTAGTGCTAGAAACCAGCAGATGAGGATGTGGAGGCAGGATGTCTTGTATACTGCCTTGCTAGGTTTTCCAGTGGTGTATCAGATACATTTTTGAACTGCCAGTGACTGGGTCTGGTTGATTGCTCCTGCAGGTGATTCTGAATTGCTGCCAGGGCAAAACACCCAAGGAGGCTATAGAAAATTGGTTGCACACAATGACTGAAGAGAAGACGCTGACCGCTGAGAGTTTGGTGAAAGTCCTCCAGGCTGTGAAGACAACCTTGCCAAACTTAGGCCTTCTGCTGGAAAATTTGCAGAAATTAGCTCCTTTGTCCAGTCCCCCAGGTATTAGTTAATTGTTGCCCTTTCGACTGGAGCTACTCTTACAGAACACCCTTTGACTCCATGTTGGGGAAATGAGATAATATTAGGAAATGTTACTGCAAAACACACACTATCACAAATCAATATCAGTGTTCCTACAGTCAAAAATCTGGAGTGTGAGAACAACTTAGCCATTAAGATCCCACCTCAGTTTCCCATAGCCCAAGGTTTATTAATGGATGGATCACATCTGAAAGCTGAAAAAATGAAAAGCTCACAAGGCTCAGCATCTTGATGACTGTGTAACCAAAATTCAGATTTTGATCATCCCATTCCTACCCACGTGCTATTGCTTCCAGCAGTCCCCTGACTCTCCACCTTTAGAGACTAGGGGGAAGGCACCCATAGCCAGTCATTTAAAAGCCCATCTGCAGCAGTGTGCCCTGTCCTAGGGCAGCTGGAGACACAGACTGTTTGGGAAGCATGGCTTATAAAAACAATGTATACTTAAACTGGGACGTTCCAGAAATTAGGAACAAAACAACCTAAAACCTGTTACTCAAGAATGTCACTAATTAACACCTTGGCATATTTTATAATTTCCCTCATTAAACAGTACAATAACATTCTTCCCTGCATTTCAAAACAATTCCTCATTAGCCTGTTTCCTGTGTAGTTTTCCATCATAAGGCTGTGGATAGAGTGTTACTCGTGCCTGTATTTGTAGCCCATGTGGTACAATGGTGGTGACTATACACTTCCGTTCTAGCCGTTCTAGATGTCCTGTGTGACCATGAACCAGCAACCTATCCTTTCTGAACCTCTCCTCTTTTGAATGGGTATAAGACTGGGCCTTCTAATCATTTTTGTGGCTACTATGAATACCTTAAAAACACTAGTGCACTGTCTGGCACGTAGTAGGCACTTAATAAATGTTGTTACCTCCGTCATCATCATGAATTATGTTGTGGCAGTGGTTCTTGTACATAGTTCTTTTGCCTTCATTTAATCTCTTAGGGCTGTATTTCCAGCAGTGGACATACCAGATCAAAGTAGAAAATAAAAATAATAAGTATTTGCAAAGCAAAAGGAAATGCCTGATTTACTTTGATTTTTTTAACTTTCAAGGAAATCTGACTTCTTTAAAGCAAATGCCTAACATATGGACTCAGAGGGCGTCTAAGCTGAGCTGTGAGTCGTCTTCACAGGCACATTTTGACTTGTGGCTGTTTGTATTTTGGATTACCACATGGATCATTTGCCTCAGGCTTCATGAGTAACACCCCCTTGAACCTGCACATCCAAATCTCTTGCAAGTACAGCCACTTCATTACCCGCCTGTTGAGCGATCATTGGCTTCTACCACCAGGCACTGGCTTTTAGCATGCTAGTGGTTTTATCACCCTGAAGCACCAGGTAATAAATGTAGAGCAAAGATCTGAACATATGCTTGAGGTCTCAGGCAGAGGCAGCTCTTGCGCCACTGCCTCTCCCTCTCTGTAGCATCCTTTGTCTTCCATAGGTTTTTTGCATCAAACATTGTTTTGCTAATATCCTTACAGTCCAACCAAGCCCTGAGGACTATGGGAATGAGCTTTTGAGACGATATCATGAAAACCTCTCTGAGATTTTCACAGACAACCAGGCATTGCTGAAGGTCATCTCACGTGTGAAGAGTTTGGCCCCTGGAGAAAGAGAGGTAAGAATGGGAGGCAGGAAGGAAAAATAATGTGTATATACACTGTCTTATTTCTACTTGCAAGTATACATACACAGTTATATGGAAAAGTGCTAAGTAGAAAAGGAGAAAGAAGAATAATTTCTTAAGGCAGGGAACCATATAGAATAGTCATAATTTCTTTGGTAAGAAGGAAAGGTAATCAAGTGGAAGAATGAAGAACTTCATCATGTATAAGAAATCTCTTAGCACCTGGACATTATGATAGTCCTCACCTCTAATCTCAGCACTTAGGAGAGTAGGCGGAAGAATTATGAAGCTGAGGCTAACCTGGGCTATATAGTAAGACACTGTCTCTAGATAGGTTAGTAAGTAGGTAGATAACATTTACTTGTGTGCGTGCGTGCATACATGTGTGTCTGTTCCCTGGAGCTTAAACCTAGCTAAACTCTACCACTGAGCTACATCCCCAGCCCCACCTCCAAATAAATTAAAAAGAAATCTCCCAGTGTGAAAGAGGTGAATTACATCTACTCTACCCCAGCAGCCAACTTGTAGCTCTGCAGCTGGTCCAGGCTAGAGTCTTCCATACATGCTTGTTTGTGTTCCATCTTGAAGGTCATGGAGAAGCTTGTGGAACGGGACTCTGATTCTGGTGGTTTCAGTTCCCTGATGTCAGCAGCTCTAGAAAAGCAAACTCTCTCAGCAACAGCCATTTGGCAACTACTGCTAGCAGCTCGGGAGACAAAGACCTGCCCTTTGAACTTGCTCCTGGAACAAATAGGAAGAGAACCTGGTGCCAATGCTTTCTTCCAGGCAGGTGAGTGCCTGCCCTCCACCAGGCTTTGCCCCTTACAGCTATTGGCCCTTTCAGGAAGTAGAAGAAGCTCTCTTCTGATAGCTGTCCACATCCCTACCCTTAGGAATAAGGATGGACCAGTTCTCCTGCTCTTTTGCTCAGTAGGGTGGCTGAAGGTAACCATCACATACTGTATTTTAGGAAGGCCACAAGAGACATGGAGTATATTTAGAGAAGCATTAAGTTTGCTTATTCTGACTTGAATATAACACATACATGTATCAAAATATCACATGGTGTACCTCATAAATATATCATTTTTAGGTCTCAATTTTAAAAAAAAGCAAGGGCTGGCATTTTAGTTTAAGGATAGTCATTTGTAAACTTTTTAAGAAAAATTATGCAGTAATTATTCTAAGCTTATATTTGTTATTTCACTCTGGCTTGCCATTTCCTCACTTGCAGCCCTTGAGGAGCGGATGACATGTGTTCTCATTATGAGGAGTTTTGAGTTAAGAGGTAAAGGGGAAAATGGGAATTAGGTTAATTCTCCAGTCTCCCTCTCTTCCAGTGACCACCCCTGAAAGTGCTGCCTTAGAAGCCATCCTGAAGCACAGCAGGTTGATCATGGACGCCATTCAGCAGAGGACTGTGCTCCAGCACTTTTCCTCAGAAGAGAAGCACCTGGTGGAGACCCTGAAAGAGGTGCGGAGCAATAAAAGGCAAATCAGAATTTGGCAGGGTGTTGCCTGAGTCTGTCTTCATTTCTGAGGGAAGATCCACCTCTGCAGAGTCCCTGCTCTGTGTCCGGCATCGTGCTGAGCTCTTCCTAGCACGTTTGCGCTTTCACCTCCAACCTCAAGGTTGATGTCGTCACATCTTACAAATGAAGGGGCTCAGCTCCAGAGTTGAGTCACATGTCTCAGATTTTCCAAGTCAGAAATGAGGCCAGACATACAACTCAACCCTATGCTGATTCCTGTTGTGTAAACCTAGAAACACCTCTGTTCTTCTGTAACATGTTCTAAGCAACAACTTCTCTCAGAGGATAGAAGTAAAGTTGTTGTCTTATTATATTTTCTATTCTGGCTTCTTGAAAGAACTAACATAAACATAGAAAGAACAAAGCTCTTGCCCATATGGGGTAGCAGGTAGTGCCAACTCGTTTTCTGTGAGGCTTCTTATAATGTGGCCAGCATCCCAGAAAAGCAGGTGGAGGTGGGGAGGGTTTGTGGATGTCCAACCCATGATTGTGTGCTTCTTGAGCAGGTAAAATAATAAAAGGACATAGAATTAAGCTACAGATGCACCTGTAGTGTCTTTTTGATCCTGACTAGCAGGAGGGCAGAAGCATATCTGCCCTGGTGACAGCTCTACCTCGGTCTGCGCTCGGTTGGGAAGAAGGGGGCACATGTTCCAGTAGGGTTCCAGAGGCAAGACTCACCTGCTGGCCGGCCCCTCCAACTCTACACACTTCAGAGCTGGGCCTCCTACAGCTGATCACTTTAGCCTCACTAATTAGTCTCATGCTTCCAGGGACATCAGGTTTATTTAGATAGACTTGAAAAGAGCAGAAGTAAAATATCTTCCAAAATGCAAAGTCCATGTGGCCATCTGTGGATGTTTCAATTTATTTTCTGCGTGCTGACTCTGCCGATAGTGCTAACATTCTGAAAGAGGATGGCTTTGAAATCATATTCTTGGCCTCTTTAAAGCCCCTATTTGAACCTACTGTGTCTTTATGAAAGAAAGTGATGTTTAAAAGGGTACATCTAAGTGTCTAAAAATATGAATCTACTGATGGTGCAGAATTATTTCTAGACATTGAGACAATTATATATTATGAAAAATTATCCTGATCTTCATGACAGAAACGCCAGTCGCCAAATCCTACAGCTTTCAGACTTTTTATGTTTGGATCTAGAAAAGCTCTCTGAGAAATTTATGGTTGCTGAGCAGATTCTTACAGAAGACACTAATGCCCCTGTGTGTACCGCCTTTGTACTTGCACATCTCTCAGTATGTGCTTCCTTTTGCTCTTTGGGTAATCTTCCTGTCCTTTGGCAGACAGGGCTTTCCATATGCATTGTGAAAACTGTAAACTACTTATAGGTAGAGCTGGGTCTTCTGCAGTTAGCTTTTGTCAGTTTGTTATAAGTTGAAAACCATGGGGAAAAAAATAAATCTGCTGATATTGACCCTGCACCTTTGTCTCGTGATGTTCATTTAGATTCTGAGCATTTCCTCTGAGACAGCCAGCCTTGAAGCTTCCTTGAGAGCAGTGCTGAGCAGAGCTATGGAAAAGGCAGTCTCAGCCATTGAAATCTGTCGCCTCCTGTGCAGTGTCCACAGATCTTTCCCTGGCCTACAGCCTGTCATGCAGGAGCTGGCATGCATTGGTAAGGAGCAGGGGTTAGGGGCCAGAAGGCCCCAAGATCTTTGTTGAGAAAAAGAAAAGTTTTATGTAAGAGGGTTATTTATTCCTCGTATATACTCTCAGTACCTAACAGCCAGGGGACTTGATGCTATCTGTATCTAGTGGGAAGTAAAAATGACTGTGATAATACTCAGGCTTTTTAGATTCTCAAGTAGTCTCCAGTCTCCTCTAAGAGTATGTTAGAAAAGTTACAAAGTAAAGTAGAAACCGACTTCCCAGGGTCCTGTGTTTCTCTCCTATGCAGGCTTCCTTGCTAAGGAAAATGGAGAGAGGGAAATGTGGAGGCTGAGTGATAAATTTCACCATGAAGCCAGCAACAAAGAAAATGAGAAGGCAGCTGAGGTGACTGGAGAAGGCTGCCAGCCCACAGAACAAAAGGAAAAGGAAGAGACTGGTTCCCCGCCAGAGCAACAAGAAAAGGACACTTCTGCCTCCCCAGACTCTGCCAAGAAGAGCTTTGTCTGTAAGGCCTGTGACAAGAGTTTCCATTTCTACTGCCGCCTTAAGGTGCACATGAAACGTTGCCGGGTAGCCAAGAGCAAGCAAGTGCAGTGCAAGGACTGCAGTGAGACCAAGGACTCAAAGAAGGAACTGGAGAAGCACCAGCTGGAGGCCCACGGTATGGGCGGAGAGCCTGACATCCCCAAGAAGAAGAAGAAGAGGCTTCCTGTAACCTGCGACCTCTGTGGAAGAGAGTTTGCCCACGCCTCAGGTACATTCACTAGGCTCAGTCATGAAGGATAGTAGGTGAAAATTATGTACCCTAGTTGTGTGCCATGAGAAGCCTAGCTGGTCCTAGAGGATAGGGTAGGTTCTTGCAGAGGCAGGTGGAGGTTGACAAGGGCATGGGGAGTCTCTATGGAGCCATGTCCCTGAGCCTTGTTTTCCCACCCATAAAATGGGTCCTTGACACTGCTTACTCCTTTGCATTTTTAGGAAGTTCAAAATGTCAGTGCTAAACATCTAGAACAGAGCCTACAATAGAATTAACACACACAGCTGTTCTTCATAGTAGTTACCAACTCTTGGACACCTGGGTTTCCATGTCCCCCCTATTTCTTGTAATAAACAAGAGTCAAGGAAACCATGGGATGTATAGTTCAAGAGTTGTATTCCCTTGTTCTGGATGTTGGATGCACATTTTATGTTCATTAAACATAAAAGCACATTTGGTTTCCCTATATGAATGTCAAGTCCAATTTAAGAGAGAGGATTGGGATAATAGACTCAGGGTCAAGTTGGGGTGGCCTAGAGGTGACTTTGGGCATGCAGTTTGGTGGACACATGAGTAACATGGTACGTGAGGCAGAAACTAACATAGCCTTGGCTTCCTGTGGTTCACACTGTGCCTTCTTAAGCCTGGCCTGAGACTGCTTAGGCATCCCCTGCTGGCTTCCTTATGCTGACCGCAGGTCTTTTCTGGTGTTCGGCACGGCTCTAGGCATGCAGTATCACAAGCTGACAGAGCACTTTGATGAGAAACCATTCTCCTGTGAGGAATGCGGGGCAAAGTTTGCAGCCAACTCTACCCTGAAGAACCACCTCCGCCTACACACCGGGGACCGTCCATTCATGTGCAAGCACTGCCTCATGACCTTCACGCAGGCCTCAGCCCTAGCCTACCACACTAAGAAGAAGCACTCTGAAGGTGAGGCAGACACGCGCTCTTGTCACCCGCAGACTTCCCCAACACTGCTGCCTAAACCTGCTTAGAACCAAACAGGTAGAGCTCTTAGAGAAATTCAAACCAGAGCTCCAAATCCCCAGGGATACAAAGGCCCAGGGAACCATCTGCACAGGCACGTCCAACACTCACCATGGGGGGCTCAGAAGAGAGGTTGGCTGGTGTTAGTGTTAGCAGTTGTAGCTACAATATTTACATAAGGCCAGCAATTCTCTGAGCTTTGAGCTTTGATGTACTTCCAGCCTGAGAAAGACCTGGTAGATCACCTACTATGGATTAGGCAGTGCCGGTGCCGACTAGGCTGGAATCCTGTGCTCGAGGAATGACAGCCTGAGGGGTGGGACATGGAAGACATAGAGACAGTCACAGTGCAGGCTGTCAGGCAGAAGAGGGCTAACCAGGATGACAGAGAAGAATGCAAAGGGGGTTCGGGCTGGTTAAAGGGAGGGAGGTGATAGTCAGGGTAGGGTCAGGAATTGCAGTTTCCTTACCTCCCCTGGTCACTCCCTCCGCTTGTGCAGTCTTTCTCACAAATGCCAGCTTTTTCTGTCTAGGAGCTGTGCTCTCTATAAACATGAGAAAACAGAAAGCCATAGTATGTGATGAGTGTAGCAAGTCACTGGTTCTTTCCTAGAACCCACGTCTCACCTTTGTGTGGCATTGGCAGTCCACACTGTACTGTGAAAGGAGAGTTGAATGCACACCTTTCTGGGCAGGAGATGGATCTGTTGGCTGGCAGTAGCATGAGCACTTTCTCTTTGTGGGCCTGATAAATAAGCGGTTCTCTGTGTACTGAGAGCTCTGTCCCTGCCCTGTTCTTACCAGCTGTCCTCACCCTGTAGGAGGGGCTGTGTTTAAGAAATACATGTATTTGACAGGATGGCTCTCACCCCCACTATGTGTTACAGATTGCCTGAGGTTTTTGTGTCTTCTCCCAGCTGACATTTCCCTGGTGTGTGCCTTAGAGTTTTTATTTTGTTTATAAGAATGACATAAATGTTTAGTGCCTATTGCATAAGCTCTTGTATTCTCAGGGAAAATGTATGCATGCCAGTACTGTGATGCTGTGTTCGCACAGTCCATTGAGCTGTCCCGCCATGTGAGGACCCACACTGGGGACAAGCCATACGTCTGCAGGGACTGTGGGAAGGGCTTCCGGCAAGCTAATGGCCTCTCCATCCACCTGCACACCTTTCACAGTATGTACTGGAATTCTGGATATCATGAGAACACATGTCTTAAGAAATGTCTCCATCAGGGCTGAGCCTCGTTCCATTCCCTCTCCTCCCCGATTCTCCTGCAAAACCCACAGTTGTTGGGCCTGGGAAGGTGGCTGAATGGTAGAGCACTTGCCTTGCATGCATGAGGCCCTGGGTTCGATTCCTCAGCACTACATAAGCAGAAAAAAATGCCGGAAGTGGTGCTATGGCTCAAGTGGTAGCGTGCTAGCCTTGAGCTGAAGAGCTGAAGGACAGCACCCAGGCCCAGACTTCAGGCCCCACGACTGGACCCAAAAAAAAAAAAAAAAAAAACAGTTGTCCTTGCTGTGTAAAGATGACTTTCATTTTAGCATATCGCTGTGAAGCTTCTTTCTCTGTCTGGACTGTTGCTTTTTCTTCCTCTTAGCCAACCTAGTATTGTTTGACTGACAGAGGCAAATTATGTTTGAGAAAGTCTCTGACACTGACAGGCTCACAGAGCACTGTCCTCCTCCACACTTGCTCTCTACTCATGCTGGCCTGCCTTAGAGGAGCAAGGTGTACGCTTCCTGAGTGGATGTCTAATGCCTGGCATGTTCCTTTGAAAGTTTCCTGCCCAGCCTTCTCCAAGTGCCTTTGTACTTCGCTCAGTTCTTAGAACCTGCCTATCTTTTCTTCTTCCACTAGACCTCATATAGACCAACAGCTTTCATTCCACTTTTTCTAGAGTGTGTGCAAGCACGTACACGAACAGAAGGAAATTCTATAGCATTTGGCTGACCTCCCATTTTCTTCAGCTTTCCTTGTGCAACTGAAATATAATCAACACAGTACAGCAGGGGAATTGAGAGCCTAGGGTATAGGCACCCAAGCTTGGACTTGATTTTTGACCCGACCACTCACTTTTATTGAGATCTTAAATTTATTTACCTTGCTAAGGCCATGTGGGGAAAAAAATTTTTTTGTTGTTAGTAAGACCTTTTGCTTTCTGCCAGGCGCCAGTAGTTCATGCCTATAACCTTAGCTACTCAGGAGGCTGAGATCTAAGGATCATGGTTTGAAGCCAGCCTGAACAGAAAAGTCCTTAAGACTCTTTATCTCTAACCACTAAAAAGCTAAAAGTGGAGCTGTGGTTCAAGTGATAGAGAGCTAGCCTTGAGTAAAAAGGCTCAGGAAAAGTGCCCTGAGTTTAAGCCCCAGTACTGACATATACAAAAAATACTTTTGCTTCTGTTGTATAAAGAATTCTGCATAAAAATGGCAAGTGTAATTTTTTTTCATTAGGGCTAGCTCTCATTTTTGAGGTCCCACTTGGACTTAACCTGTCCAGTTAGACATGTGGCTCAGTGAGAGCCCATTTCCCAGCTATGCCCTTGGATAAGGTCCTAACTTAGTTTGCCAAACCTTGACTTTGTAGTCTATAAAATGAGAACAAAAATAGAACCTACTCACAGGGCTATTAATATTAAAGCAGCACACACACACACACACACACACAAAGTACTTCACACATGTCTGCCAGAGAGCACTCACTAAGCATCTACACAAAGGTTTTCTTGGAATCTCCAGGGGGCAGCAAGGAGGCATTCTCATGATGACGGCAAAAGAAACAGTGCTGCTCTGAGAGTATGTTTGAAATCTCTACCAGGAAGTGGAAGGCTCCCCAGAAAGTAAAATAGGATTAAACATGTTAGGCCTAAAATGAGGAATCGAGGTAAACTACTTGAGGCAGGGGTGGTTGATCCAGAAAGCATGTAAAATTCTTCCTCCTGGGGTGACGTGCAAGTAGGCAGGGGACTGCTGCGCTGAATTGTGACCCTTAGAGTCTGTGTCCAGCGTAGAATCTAAACAGTCTTATATCTTGCTGTGCGCAGCAAACAGTGTTTCACTGATTGCCTGTGTTGTTTTTCCCTTTCCTTTCTTCCACGGATGGCCCTCCTGGCATCAGACATAGAAGATCCTTATGACTGCAAGAAATGTAGGATGAGTTTCCCCACTCTGCAGGATCACCGGAAGCACATCCATGAGGTGCATTCCAAAGAGTACCATCCCTGCCCTACATGTGGGAAGATCTTCAGTGCCCCTTCCATGCTGGAGCGGCACATGGTAACCCACGTGGGAGGAAAGCCCTTCAGCTGTGGGATCTGCAACAAGGCCTACCAGGTGACTTCAGGCCCCACATGCTCTCCATTCAGGTCCCATTCTTGCCCATGTGTATGACTTGCCCATTGTCCTAGTTCATCTTTAGGATGTGACAATTTGAGTAACTCAGGAAGAGTGTGCTCAGTTGCAGACCTTGTGCTGAGAAAGCAAGTAGAGGGAGCTTGTAATTCAGATTCTCTGAGGAGCTCTGGTCAGTGATACAGGAAGAAACCCGAAAGCAATTTCAGCCTTGCCATAAGCTATTGCTCTTTTTCCCCTGGAGTGCTCACATTCTATAAAACCTATTTGTGAGGGAATGACTCAAGTAGAATAACATCTGCATAGTGAGCTTGAGGCCCTGAGTTCAAACCCCAGTACTGCCAGTCAATCAATGTAAAACTATAGAGTAATAAAATTATTTTTTAAATAAAAGAATCACTTGACCCCATGGATCAAGGAATATGAGAATGATAATGTGGAATGAAACACTACCCAGAATTACCTTGTTTAGCACAATTTTTGTCCATTTGCTTGTTGAGCTTCCAGAAAATGGGTCTGTTTTCATACTAATGAAACCAAAAGAAACCACATATGTGAGGAACTAGTCACAAAGACAAGAATGGCCCTTGGTGGTGTAAGATTGAGGCTTAGACACCGAAGTATAGCAGCAGACTTAAAAATGGAGGGCTGCCTTCATGCCTGGCCTCAGGCTGTATGACAGCGCAGAACTGAGCATGATCTCTGAAAGACAGGAATTTTAGGTGCTCTCTGGAGCGAGGGAAGAAAATACTTTCTCTACTCTAAGAGCCCATAGCTTCTGTTTTAGCAGGGTGCTCCACCACACCCCTGGGCTCTGGGAAACAGTTAGATTGTAGCCTAATGTGAAAAGCAGACATGTCAGAGATCCCATTCTTTACACATCATGTGACCCTGGCCAGTCAGCTAACTCCCGGGGTGTCAGCTTCTGGCCTACCTGGAAGACCCTAGCACCAGTTCATGAGCATGAAGGAGTGAGGGCTTAGGGAAGACTTGGCTGAGACCTGCCTAAAGTAGCCTGTCAGTGAATTTAGAGTTGCTTCTCATGTCAGCACTCAGCATGATAGGTAAGAGTGTAATTGTAACTCTCACGAAGACCTTGTGAGCTTTCCAGCTTGTTGAAACTTTCTAAGATCTAACATTTGTCCCATTCCTTGCAGCAATTGTCTGGTCTGTGGTACCACAACCGGACCCACCACCCAGACGTGTTTGCTGCTCAGAACCATCGCTCATCCAAGTTCTCTTCACTCCAGTGCAGCTCCTGTGACAAAACCTTCTCGAGCATGATGGAACACAAGGCACACATCAAAGCAGAGCACGCAGGTGCAGTTGGTGCCCGGAGGGTGAGCTGGTACTTGGGAACAGTTCAGTGACATAGCACCCAGCTTCTGTCCTGAGATGCCAACTTGTACCACTTTGGTACAGTGGGCGGCAGTGGCTTCCTCTGCTCTGCACAGCATACCTGAAGGCTGTAGCTTGTATGGCAGGAATTTCAAACCTGGAAGCCTAGAACAGTGAAAGCTTCTCTGAGCCAGTCTCAGCACCTGGGAAGGTGATAGCTTTGTTGGCAGCTGGGCTGGGTGGAAATCCTGACTCGAGCACTTCTAACCAGCTGCATGACCTTGGCAGGTGACTTGTCTTTCTTTCTAAGTCTGCTTCCTTCTCTCAAGCATGGGAGTTATTAATACCTGCCTCTTAGGACCACTGGGGATAAGCAGAGCAGCCGTCAGTTTAAGAGCACTTCCTATATGCAAGGCACCAGCCACGCACTCTGTATTTTATCATCTAGTTTTCACAACTCTTTGTGTCCAGCTTACACAAATCTCTTCAGGCACAGGTTTCTGGATGCTTGTGTAGAGTGTGAGTCTTCACCTCACTCCAGTCCCCTTACCCTCCAGCCTTAGAAGGACCTCCTTTTATTCTTTCCACCAGTTCTTTTTTATGTATATTTTACAGATTTGAAGTTTCATGAGTGTGACCAGTGTAAGGAGCTCTTCCCCACGTTGGCTCTGCTCCAGGTGCATGTCAAGTGCCAGCATTCAGGTCAGTGCTCTTCCATATGTCCCAGGCCACATCACTAACAGACTTGTAGCTCCATTTCTTCCTTTGGAATATGGGAGCACCGTGGTGCCAGCTGCACAGGGTGCCAGGCCTGGCACCTGGAAGCGTCCCTTCATGTTAGCCATGACAGTGGTTGTTTTTGCTCTATTTCATCCAATCTAGAGTGCCACTTACAAGACACACCATTTTAATGAATAATTAAGAAAGAAAAGTATTGCCAATGAAACTCTGCTTGCTTATCACTTAGAATTTGTAGGTTATTCTCAGTGCTAGTTTAGTCTAAATTTGGTTTTTATCGTGTCTCTCTTGTAAATTGATTCAGAGGATAATGCAGCCTCTCAGTTCCTCTCAGTCCTGACTGCTGGGGGATGTTCCCTCAGTGTTTTTTCTGCCATCAGAGTAACAACAGAGCACCAAGTGCACCAGAAGTCATTGGTGTAACCTCTTGGATATAATGTAAAGCGAGACTGTCATTGATCTTTGGTTTGGGAATGTAGTTCAGCCTCTGCACTTACTTCCTCCCTCCTGGAATGCTTTGTCCCTGAGGTTAAAAGTACACTCATCCTGTCTTAGGAATACTCTTCCAAACCACAAGCACACATCCTGCAGGCCTTCGTGCACACGTGTGCACAGTTGATGAGTGTGCCTGACAACTGCCTGGCCCTCAGCAGTCAGAGGGATGTTCCCTTGAGTCCACTGAAGGACCCTAAAATGTATTTCCTAGAATTGATGACAATTTAGTATCATCATTGTCACTGTCCACCTCTGAAGAATGATGGACTTCAGCAGATTCACCCTAAGTCATATGCTAACAAAACTAGTTTAAGGGCTCTTTGCTCACAGGACCCTTCCAAGGCTCTGCATCTAGTTCTGTATTTATCATTTTATAGGGAGACCACACACACACACACCAATTACACCAGCTTTAGTCACATGAAACCTAGCTCTGTCCCTCCACCGCAATCCTCATGGCTTGCTCCTTGGCTCTGGGTCACCTTCCACCCACAGCCATCTCTTCTGCCTCCTCCTTCAGGGTCGCAGCCATTCAGGTGTTTGTATTGTGCAGCCACATTCCGCTTCCCTGGAGCCCTGCAGCACCACGTCACCATGGAGCACTTTAAGCAGTCAGAGAGCACATTTCCCTGCGAGCTCTGTGGGGAGCTCTTCACCTCCCAGGCTCAGCTTGACAGCCACGTGGAGTCTGAGCACCCAAAGGTGACAGGCACGGACACCCAGGCAGCTGCCTCACAGGTGGTACAGGTAAGTCTGGCTGTTGGATATGGAGCATGAACACAGGGTTCCTAGAGCATCGCTGGAGGCCCCTCTGTCTCACCACCCAGTCTTACTCTAAGGGATTTCTTAATGACCATAGGCAGAGCCTGGATCTCTGACCAAACAGACCAGAAAAGTTGAATCTTTTGAGGCCACTAGAACCTAAACCAAGAATTTCCAGGAAAACGGTCTTAGCTTCTCCCCTGATTCACACATGTCCACCTTCTAAGAAAGGCTGTGCGAGAGACATGGAAAACCTTGGAGGAGGATGGCTGAGCTCTGTTGCTCAGGGCCCCAGCAGGGAAAGCCTGTGAATGGCTCGTGGGAGCCACTCACCTGATGAAAAAAAGCCCACCTCTTCTTCATAGTTCAAGTCCATCCCACCATTCTGTCTCCCTGGTCCTCTTCCTTTCCTTCCACAGAGAAGGGAAAGAGAATGAATCGTGCTGCCTGTCAGTGACCTGTGGAGAGGCTGAAGATGAGGCTTTGTCTATTGGGCGAGTCATTTGTAAACTAAGCACATTCTGAAGCCTCTGGGAAACAGCAAGGCAGGCGGACAGGACTCCAGGTGATGCTGGCTGCCATCCCAGAGCCTCTCTGCTCTCATCTCTTTTAGAAATTAGGGCTCCTGGTAAGCTGTCCTTGGTAGGGACAGGGCAGCTACCATCCTGAGAGACAAGAGCAATTTGGAACTTCTTGTGCTGGACCACAGTAGACTGATCTCACAGGGCAGAGTGAGTGCAGCCTCCTCCCTGTGCTTACTCTCCCCTCCTAAATGGCCCAGTACCCAGGTGGCTGTGCCCTCTGGGAGCACACTGGGTTGATGGTATCTAGGCTATCAACTGTCCTAGAGTCCACAGGTGAGAAGCATCAGCAGGAACAGCACAGGCCTCACTGTAGAACAGCTCTTTCTGAGCTAGAGGACCATCTCTAGCTGACTGCACATCTGGGAGAAGTATTTGAGGCCTGCAGAGATGGTGGGACACGTTCCTGCTGCTCCAGCCACTGATTGAGCACAGGCAGTGGTTGGAACTGCAGTCTACTCCCCTTTCCCCTTCTGAGTTCCCATACAGCTCTCAGCTCCTGGCATGCCACAGGGTCAGGGATGGCATCTTGGCAGGCCTCAGCGTCTGCTAAGTCACTTCCAGTTCTATGTTTTAGGCTGAGACCCATCACCTCTGGTGGCATTCTTCTCACATGACACTCGCCTCTGCAGTGTCATCATAGAGACAGGAAAACCCAGTGTGAAGAACTGAGCCTGTGTTCACTGGTGTGTAATCATAGAGTCCATGTGCCCTGAGATGGGGCACTGAGTAAAATTATAGCAATTCAGTACACAGAGTTATTTAAATTGTTCGCCTGCCTTCTCTTTTGCATCACTGGTGTGTTAGATTTGCCTCTTCCCATTAGGTACAAGTCATTGCTCTCCTCGGGTGAGAACATAAATATCATCATTACAGTATGAGACAAAAGCCATGTAAATTCTGGGAAGCCCACCATCAACACTGCCAGAGCAGCCTCCTGGTCTTTCCCTTTCAGGTGATCCAGGCTCCAGAGCCGGCGGCCCCCACCGAGCAGGTGATCACTTTGGAGGAGACCCAGCTTGCTGGCTCACAGGTGTTCGTGACATTGCCTGATTCACAGACCTCTCAAGCCAGCTCTGAGCTTGTGGCAGTGACTGTGGAGGATTTGCTGGATGGTACTGTCACTCTGATCTGTGGTGAGGCCAAGTGAGTGGCGGCTCATTGGTGGAAGGCACCTGCACTGTGCCAAAGAGAAAGTTCAACTTAGCACCAACCACCAACCCAGCGGCTCACTTGGAAACAGAGGGTGGTCCCATTCACATAGAAACACAGTGTCTGAGCTGTGGACACAGACACCACTGTCCTTCCCACAGACCTGAAACTCTGTCCCACCCCAGAGAAGTCAGGCTTCTGAAAGAGCAGTGGGATGTGAGCTGGTACAATGTGGGGGCAGTGTGCCTGCAGCCATTAGCTGACAGAAGGCTGGGAGTCTGAGCCCATGGAATGGGGCTGCAAATTCTGCCAGTGCCTCTGGCCAATGGAGAGAGAAGCACCAGCAGAGCCTCCAGGGAGCCCAGCCCTGAGTAGTTACCCTTCGCTTCTCTCATCCTCTCTGTGCTCAGGTCTTCCTGTACCCAGGGGCCGTGCCCAGCTCTGTTGATGGGGCTATGTTAACACTATAGGAAGCCCTCGTGCTGGTCACATCTAGTCAGGAGAATCATCCCCTTCTAAAACAGAGCCTGTGGAGTATTTGTGTCAGAAGGAAGTGTTTGACTTGAGGCCATCCAGCTGCAAAGATGACTCTGCCTTCCTGGGATAGTCTTCATAGTGCTCCTTTCTCAAAAGCTCTTCCATGTTATCCTCATCCCTCCCTCCTATCAAAGGCTGAAATTCCCCCCCAACTTGGAGGCCTCTTGCTGGCTTCCTCTGGAGCATGTGACGTCACTAGTGAACCAACCCAGGAAGGCAGTCCTGCCTGTGCCACGTGTGTGTGAGGAGCAGCCACGGGGCCCATGTGCCTTGTGTGTGGCCTACCCTCAGCAATCCCAGGCTGCGCATGGCCTGCAGGTCAGTGACCTTTCCAAGTCTGAATTTCACAAAGCTTCTTATCTTCAGCTCCTAAAACATAATCTGGTAATTAATGGTTTGTGGAATCCATTACGAAGTACAATTAGATGGATGTCAGATCCTGCCATTAGAGAGGATAAGTAGCACTTCTGTTTTCTGGAAGCTCAGAGGTTGAAGAGTGCCATTGCAGTGTTTACCCCGGCAGCTCCCTGCTACCGCATGAGGGTTACCCCTCTGCCAATTTGGTCACTCACCCTCCAGCCACTCACTAACAGATAAGCCCACCTTGTCTTTTCAAGCACATCTCACATGGCCATGTAGAGGCAAGGGGTCGCATTTGATCTATTGCTGCCACCCAGGCAGGTGACACAGCTAGAAGGGCAGAAGGTAGAACCCTAACACTGCTCAGTCAGTTTGAGGGCTGGCCATTGACATTGGCTTGTGCAGGCAGCCCTGGTAACCATTTTTACAGCTGGATTCCAGCTCTGATCAGCTTTCCTCCAAACTGCTCCAGTCTTGGGCCTGTTTTCATTTTGATGGGCAAATTGCTTGAGCATAGATCTTCCCATTCTCGTGTTTTAGGGGTTGTTTTGTTTGTTTTTGGTTTTGTTTTGAGATGGGGTATCACTATGTTTCCCAGGATGGACTCAAACTTATTATGGATGCTGGGATTACAGGAGTGTGTGCCCCCACACACTGCCAGTCTTCCTATTCTGAAGTAAATGAAGTTTTTCAAAGCAAGTCAGCTTCAGAAGCCAGACAATGACCAGAAGATGGTGCTCACACATTAAGACTCTGCCTCCCTGGGAACACCGTGCTGGTCCTGCCGCAGCTGCCTGCTTGAGGCTGTTGTTCATTCTTGTGGCCGGCAGAGCAGGGCAGATCTTGGCTTAGAGTTGATGGAGTAGCACATGCTACTGGCAAGAATGGCACCTCATACCCTTGGGGTGGGGTTGGGACTGCACTGTCAAAAAATTTTGTCCTGCCAAAAGAGAAATGCTGAGGGTCTATAGGGGAAAGTGATTTTTAAGAGCTTTTGAATACAAATTGCTCTAAGTGTTAAACCCAGTTGTCAGCCCTGAGGAACCCCATCTCTGATTTTGATGGAGACCCAGATGATGGCCAGATAAAACACTACGTGTCATGGCAGTGAAACTGGACTTGCTTTCAGGCCTGGCGGATACTCCTCTTGAGCTCCCTCGGCCAGAGGCACAAACCCAGGGCTGGTTCTCACAGAGTCCAGGCATGAATCTTATTGTAGGAAGACTTTCAGTTGTCACACTTCTGACCAGGCTGCCCTGAACCACCACATGTTTAGTCCTCCTTCCACTTTCCTTCCTTTGCCTATGGCAGTGTTGCGTTTGCCTCATGCTATGGAATACTGTCTGTGTGGCCCCAGGGCTTAGCTCTGAACCTGGGCTTCTTGGAACACGTTGATTTGTTCAACCACACAGCCTCGGTTCCCGGAGCTCATGCTCCAGTTCTGGCTAATGAAGAGGGAAAGGCAGAGTCCAAGCTGCAGTCTGTGTTGCGGGGTCTGACAGGGTTAGTTGTAGAGTACAATTGACCCACCACAGGTGAATGGAAAGCAAATCAATGAATGAGGAGCAGGGATTACTTAGGCAGATGAGACTTACTGAGCAGAACCTGGTTCAGAGGGACCATTGGGGGAGGAGTTGTTAGTTATTGTTTGTCTTCTAAAGCCCAGCAAATAGCAGGTTTGTAGGATGAGTGGTAGTCTGGAGTTGAGGTGCCTCTGAGGGAGACTTTGGCTTGCCGCTGACTACGAGACTCCACAGCCTCCCCCCTCAGTCTAGATCTGCAGTGCTGAGGGACAAAGCAGGGTGGCAAGTGGTGAACAGAGACTAGGGCTCTCTACTCATGAACTCCCAGAATAGTGAACAGGGGAACCTAAGGATTGCCTCTCATCCCAGGGGTTGAGGAGGTTCTGAGGTGACGCCGTATGCCTGAGAACATGGAAACTGCCAGCCTGGCGTAGAGTACACGTGTGTTAAATTAAAGCTGGCCTGAGCTGGAGAAGACACTGGGTGCTTGATCGTAGAGGGTGCTGGGAGCAGTGGGAGGAAAGTGTACTGTTTTCTGCTGTGGAGGCCAAAAGGTCAGAAGCACAGCTGGGACAGAAACCTGCTGCATATGATCTTGGCCAGTAAGGAGGAGAGAGACTGTCCATTGGGGAACTACATTGTTGAGAAAGCCCTTCCCTGGGCCAATTTAAGTTGCCTCCCAATTGTGGAAATGATCAGGGTTTCTCTTAGGAAATCAGTCACACCTGTCTCCACCCAGGACTGGAACAGCCAGCCCCACTTGACATTGTATATATTAGATTACAAACTGTTACTCATGTTCAATATACACTAATGTATGTAAATAAAATACATACTTTGAAAAAATGGTGCTCCATGAGTTTCAGCTAGACTATGGTGTTGTAGGCCCGTGTTCTCCTTGGCTCGGGGTAGCTACCCAAATGGCACAGGCTCAGGAGGCCCGGCCTCTTGGGGTTACTGTGGAAGAGGCCATGCTCACGGCCTGGGAACACTGTCATGGGGAGTCTTTCTCCAAAGGAGCGAGTGTGGGCCATGTTCCAGAGTGCAGGCTGCCATGTCCCACCTGGACACGTCCTACAGTACCAAGCACAACTGTTACCGGATGACCTTGGGCTAGTGATTACTCAGCTGCCTGCTCTTGGCTCCAGCTATAAAACAGGGGAAATGATTGCATTTGCCCCATGGAATTACAGGACGAATTAGAAGTCTGGATTTAGTTTCTTTCCCCACCTTTGCCTCCTCTTCCCCACCACGTTTCATTTATCTCTTGAATCTCAGCTGCCCCCAAAGCACCAAGCACTGAGCAGATAAGTGTAAAGTAAGCAGAAACCTTTCCCAGCGAGCAGCTGAAAATGTCACGTTGCTGGCAGGCAACAAGGAAATGAGAAGGAAGCCAGTGGTCAGGTGCATGGTGCCTGCAGGAGGGTTTGCCTGGGAGCCAGAGCACCGCCCTGAGGCCCAGCTCATCCTGGGGCAATCCTGGAGCAGCCCACAGAATGTCCCTGCCTCCACGGTGGCTGTGCAGAGGCTGTGGCCGTCCAAGTCATATTTTGGGCAGTGTTCTTGACAGTGTCCCAGGCTGCTACAAGAGGTTGAGCATAGCACATGGGTGAGCTCCAGTCAGGAAAGTGTGTGTCACACGTGCTGCTGTGGGTTGGCACGAATGGGCCCAGTGGTCCCTGGTGAGCAGAAGTGGCCGGCTAAGAGAGGCAGCGGCACAGCAAGCAGGCAGGAACAGACGACATGGGAGTCCTGGCCCTCTCCTTACTCAACCAGTGACCTTGGAGGAGACATAACAATGTGAAGAAAAAGGCATTAACATTGTTAAATGCCTGTCCAAATGATGGCTGCTAAGGTCTAGGATCCTTTTAAAGGTCCTGGGGAAGAATCAGTATGGAAGGACTGGAGAGAACAACACCTAACGTCCCAAAACCAAAGTGAGGTTGGGCTTCTAGGCTGCACTGAAGTAAACTCAGAGCCTTTCCATTCCACTCCTGCCAAGCAGAGTGTCCAGGGTTAAAGCAGGGGTTCTCAGAGCCCTTTGGCCCCACAGCTGAAGGGCCAAGCCTGAGTTAAAAACACAGGCCCCTGGAAACACAAAGGGAGGAGGTTTCAGGCCTGCTCTCCTTGCCTCTTGAGTTAGTGTCTTGCCCTCCATGAGTTATGTTCAGGGATATATTTAGGCAAAAGGAAAAGTTGTGATGGCTCTGGGGTCCAGGAACTTCCCCAGGACTCAAGGGTTCACTAAGAGGCACCAAGGCCAGTGGCAGACTCCCTTTCTCTACCTGTCCCATCACTCCCAGCTACCAGATTGAAGGTCCACATCCATGGAGACATTTGGGTCTCTGTAAACTCAGCCCTGGGCAGTGGCTCAGTGGGCTCCTAGTAGATATTTGCCTGCTGCTAGAGATGGGAAGACTTGAAGGGGATGAGCTGCAGCCTATGTTTTGGTGCATTTTCCCACCAATGGCAGGACACATTCATCCCTTCCACTCCTCCCCATCCACTGAATGGCTGTGCCTTGCAGGGCTGGGTCAACCCTCAGTCTGGGGTCCCAGGGGAGCTACAACCTTGAGCTCTGCCTCCCTGTGTCTGCAGCCAAAGGCCTAGGAGGCAGCTGTGGAGCACCGCCTAACAGCCTACATGGCTTTCTTGGATTACAAGTGCCTTGAGGAAAGAATATCAACTCCCTCTTGGTGTCTCTGGAAGTAGGGGTACTAGGTTGGGCAGAGAGAGGTACCAGCAGTTGAGGCTATCTTTGTCCATTAGGGGAGACTCACATTCCACATCTGCTCCCTAGCTCCCTGTGGCTGGTCTGCCACTATCCTCTGCCCTCTGAAAGCAGTCAGCAGCTGGTGCTCCCCAGACTCTCCTCTCAAACACCATTCCTGCTGCTCTTCTCCCACTGGGCCCCCAGTGCAGGCCAGAGACCACTGATCAAACACCTCTGGACAAGGTCCCCATCGTGAGGGTCCTGGGCTGGGAGGGGGGAAGCAGGGCATGGAGCCACACAAAGAGAAGCAGCTTTGCATTCCATCAAAGCTGGAATTCCCAGCTCAGCACAGGGCGCAGTGTGGAGCCAGCTTTCCACAAGACCAGCTGGAGCTGCCTCTGGACCTGGGGGAAGCAGCTGAGGACAGGTGAAAGTTGTCAAGGAAGACAGGTGGGCTTGGGAGCATGGGATCCTTAGACTCACAGGTGGGCTTGCGGGTATGGGATCCTTAGACTCACAGGTGGGCTTGGGGGTATGGGATCCTTAGACTCACAGGTGGGCTTGGGAGCATGGGATCCTTAGACTCACAGGTGGGCTTGCGGGTATGGGATCCTTAGACTCACAGGTGGGCTTGGGAGCATGGGATCCTTAGACTCACAGGTGGGCTTGGGAGCATGGGATCCTTAGACTCACAGGTGGGCTTGGGAGCATGGGATCCTTAGACTCGCAGGTGGGCTTGGGAGCATGGGATCCTTAGACTCGCAGGTGGGCTTGCGGGTATGGGATCCTTAGACTCACAGGTGGGCTTGGGAGCATGGGATCCTTAGACTCGCAGGTGGGCTTGGGAGCATGGGATCCTTAGACTCGCAGGTGGGCTTGGGAGCATGGGATCCTTAGACTCACAGGTGGGCTTGGGAGCATGGGATCCTTAGGCTCACAGGTGGGCTTGCAGGTATGGGATCCTTAGACTCACAGGTGGGCTTGCGGGTATGGGATCCTTAGACTCACAGGTGGGCTTGGGAGCATGGGATCCTTAGACTCACAGGTGGGCTTGCAGGTATGGGATCCTTAGACTCACAGGTGGGCTTGGGAGCATGGGATCCTTAGACTCACAGGTGGGCTTGCAGGTATGGGATCCTTAGACTCACAGGTGGGCTTGCTAGTATGGGATCCTTAGACTCACAGGTGGGCTTGCTAGTAGGGGATCCTTAGACTCACAGGCTGTTGGGGTCCCCCAGGATTGACACAAATTTCATCTCTGTTTACGTAGGACTTGCAGGGAATGGGAAATGTTTCTCCCTCTCATTGTTTTTTCCCTTCTCCCTACTTCCATCCTGTTATACTAAAATAAGTCCTGTACATGTGCATGTATGTCTGACTGAACAGGTCTGTTAGCCCCAAGCATATGCTTAGGTCTCTGCCACAGCCAGTGGGTACTGGATGGTGCATAGCTCTTACGTGGTTCTTAGTCCTAGTTAGCTACACAAGGACCACATATAAGAACCAAGGTCCAGATACTCCAGGCAAGAACAGGCTAGAGACCTGTGGCTCCTGGGCCTCCAGATGCTGGGTGGTTTCCATTTGTCTTGAGAGAGGGTTGATTAATATCATTTAGAAATACTCTTCCATGAACAGTTGCTATTATTAAGTGCTTCCTACACACTGAACACTGGGTGAGACCTTTTTTAAAATTTATTGTAAAGATGCTATACAGGGGGGTTATGGTACATGAATAAGGTAATGAGTACATTTCTTGTGGAACATTGTTAGTCCCTCCTTTTTCTCTTACTATCCCTTTCCTGCCCCATCTTCTCTACTAACCCCCCACCCCAAGTTATAAAGTTGGTTTCCAACATAGTGTCTTGTGAGTATTGTTGCAATGGATCATCCTGTGTCCTTGTTTCAGCATTTTGTTCTTCCCCTTCCCAAATTAGATAGATGTATATACAAGATTTAGGGTACCAAAATTAAATATGGGGACAACAGGGGATATACCATTGGGAGAAGAACATACAAAAGAAACAAACAAAAATAACATAGAGGTAAGACCTTAATGAGACCTCAATGAGATTCTTAGTCCCTGAAAGCAGCACGGAGATGTGGATGTTAGACTCCCTGGGTGACCAGTGGAGCAGGGATGTCACCTTTGGGGCTGTGAGGCCCAGTGGGGGCACGAGCCAGCTCTGCCCAGCACTTGCTCTAGACACCAAGTTCTAAGAAGCATTCCTTGCTTAATACCTAATCAGCCAGGAAACACTGCTTCTCTCTGCTTCTATTCCCTGAACGGCCTTGTCCTCGCACCTGGACTGCTGTAGTGGCTCCAAGCCACCTCCCTACCTGCTCAGCTCTCCTTTTCCTCCCTCCTGCCCACCTGCCAGCGCCAGCAAAGCCACACCCTGCTTTTACCACCTGCAGATTGCCACCTCCTGGCCTTGCTTTGGGACTAGTAGCTGGAGGTCTGTCCCTCACAGTGTCACCGGTCCTCAGATAACTCCTGCCAACTAGTCAGAGTTCCCCTGGGTTGCAGGACAGCCACAGTCCTGCCAGGACTCCAGGTGGGCAGCTGAGCTCTACCTAGCACCTCACACATAGAGAGGAGGGCTTCCCCAGCCCGGCAGCTGCAGGGACAAGTGTGGCTTCTCTGACGTGCCCATTCCTCCCCATCCTGTGCTCCTAAAGGAAAAAACATTTCCAGATCAGCAGCCATTTTATCAGCATGTCAGATGGGAAGAGAATGTCCAGTGCAGCGGCTGAGAACCAGCTCTGATTATCCCACCTGGGTCTCAGCCCCTTGCTGGGACCTTACTAGATGTCTCTGGGCAAATTAACACATCCTTACCTCGATGATTTTGTCTCTGAAGTGGATGTGAGGGCACAGATAAAAGGTAACACGGGCCCCATTATATCACTCAAAGCTCCAGACACTGCGTGCTTCCAGCACTCAAGTAAGATGGGCTTCTGTGGGGGAGAAGATGGAAAAGACGGCAGGGTGGACTGTCAGTGTATGGAGGGCAGCGCCTGGTCCCAGCTATCTGTGTGGCCTTCCTGCCAGGTGCAGGGCTGGTGCCCAGGAGACATTTGTCATGTGGGGGCAGCAGGAACAGAGGTACTGAGCTTCCATGGCCGCAGAACT